TTTTTTTTTTTTTTTTTTTTTTTTTTTTTTTTTTTTTTTTTTTAAAGTATAAAAATTTATATAAGAAAATATAAGTTATCTATATTTTGTATGAATTAAGTTTCATTTTTATTAAATGATATATTCTTAACATTTAAGATAAGAAATATATCCCTTAAAATTACCTAACTTAAAATTTATTTAGAGGATCTTCAAAAAATAAAAAGCATTAAGTTAATAAAGTAGAAATAATATATTTTCTTAGGTTGATACGAATATATATTTACAAAAAAAAAAAAAAAAAAAAAAAAAAAAAACAGAAAAGAAAAGAAAAGAAAAGAAAAGATAAAATGATAAATAATAAAATCAACATCAATATATATTAATGGAATTAATAATATGTTCATAATTCTATCAAATAGATTTTAAATTTAAAACGTGAATTTATAGAAATGAGTTATATCATTTTACAGTCTAATATATTAAACAAATAAAATTATTATTTTTCATGAAAATTATCAATATTTTTTTATATAATTTTTTTTAAGAAAATAAAATTTTTAGCAAAAAAAAAAGAAAAGTTTAAACTTTATATTATGTCGAAAAAATATTATGATAAATTGCTAAGTGACATTCGTAAGTTTTATATGAAAATAATGAAAATAATGAAAATAAAAACATATATTTTTCTATTTGAAGAAATAATAAATAAAAATAAATTTATTATTAAACTATACGTTTAAATTTCTGCACAGTCTACTTTTTTCCCCTTTTTTTTTTTTTTTTTTTTTATCATACATTGTATATTTTTATTATTCAGATGATATAGATTTTTATATTCAAATATTGTATAATTTTTTTATTGTTATTTTTTAGAAAATCAATCAAAACCAGTGGAATCAAAATTCGGTTCTTATATCCTTAAAAAATTTGGATGGGAAAAGTAAAAAATAAAATTAAATAAAATGATAAAAAATAAGGAATAAAAAATTAATATATATATTGTTATTTCTTGAATATATAAATGTAATTTCCTAAATTTAATGGAAATATATCTTAAAACAAAAAAAATTCATTTTTTTTTTTTTTTAAGAGGGAAGGGATTAGGTAAACACGAAAATGGAGAAGTTAACATAATGAAAATAAAAAAATACGGAGAACATGGAGTAATTTAAAAAAAAATAAAATTAATTATAATTTTTAAGAATGTTTTCTATTTATAAATACGTTTATACACAAAATATAATATGTTTTTTATTTTGAGTACAGTTGGGTTACAATGAACATGAAGAAGAAAATGAGAAATGGTGGGAAAATATGTACAATAATTGTGCCAAAAATATTAAGAAAATAAATAATAATAAAAATTTATTCAGTGGTAGGGAAGATAATTTACATTCATCAAGTGACAATAAGATTCAAAATGATAAAAATGAAAACATAAAATATTCAATTTTTATAAAAAAAGATAATTCTACAATATCTACAAATAATCAAGAATCTTCAATATGCAATTTAGAGAAAAAAAAAAATTTGATAGTTATCGATAATAAGGGAACAGATAATAAAAAAAAAATTAAAATAAAAAATAAAGAAATTAATAAAAAAAGAAATTATGAACAAATTATAGATAAAAATAATACATTCAATAAAAATGTATTAAATGAAATCAAATCGGAAGGAATAACAAATAATAATGGGAAAATAACCATTAAGAAAAAAAATAAAAAGATAAATAAAGAAATAAATGATACAGAGAATTTAAATGGAAAAAAAGAACTAAAAATTAAAAAAAAAGAAAAGAAAAAGAAAAAGAAAAAAAGAAAAAAAGAAAAAAAAAAAAAAAGATTAACAGATGAGATGTAGTATTAAAATTTTATTGTTACAAGACTTATTGTAAAAATCTGAAAAATAAATACAGTAATTTAAATCAAATATGAAACTATACATATCACAATAAAGAAAGAAATATAAAAAAAATATAAAAATAAGAGATTGAATGTTATTAAAAATTTTATTTAATTATATTAAAGATATTTAATTTTGTTATAAACAGAAAAGACAAAAAAAAAACGAAAACTATTTAAGATTTATTGGAAATTCTTTTGAAACTAAAATAATTTAAATAAGAAAATAAAATATAAAAAATAAAATATGGAAAAATAAATATATAAAATAAAATTAATTTTTAAAGGATAAACTCATTGATTATATCTATATTTGTGACAAAAAAAGTTTATTTTTAAGGTTTTTATTGTAATCAAAATACACCTAAAGTTAGTGCATACTAAAATATATATATATATATATATACTTTAAAAATTTTTTAAATTTATTAAAAAAATTTATAACATTTTTTTAAAGTCTAAATAATATAAAAAAAAAAATATACATACAAAATAATAATTTTCTTTTTTGTTATAAATAAATATATATAAAAGCACATTTATTTTTTTTTTATAACTTTATTTGATAAAACAAAGCAAATTTAAAAAGGTAAATTGTTAATAAATATGAATAAAAATGGGTTTTAAAACCATTACAAAAAAAAAAAAAAAATTTATATATATATATAAATTTGTTCGTTTTATAATATATATATATTATTGGCTAAAAAAAATATTCTAATTTAATTTATTTTTTTTTTCTTTTGTCCGAATGTTTAAATTCTGATGTGTATTTTTTTTCTTTTCTTTTGTTCTTATTTTTCTCATTACTTTTAAGTCTATTTTCATGTTCATTAAATTCTTCTTCCTCTTTTTTTGATATACTGTCCTTGTTCTTTTCATCAATTTTTTTTTTATCGTTATCCTTTGTATATTTTTTTTTTTTATCTTTATCTATTTTTTCATTATCCTTATCATTTTTTTCATTATCTTTATCAATTTTTTCATTATCTTTATCTATTTTTTCATTATCTTTATCTATTTTTTCATTATTTTTATCAATTTTTTCATTATCATTATCTATTTTTTCATTATCATTATCTATTTTTTCATTATCATTATCTATTTTTTCATTATCTTTATCAATTTTTTCATTATCTTTATCTATTTTTTCATTATCATTATCTATTTTTTCATTATATTTTGTATCTATATTTTCAGCTCTTTCATCGATATCACTATTTTTTTTCAATTCTTCTTCTTTTTCTTTATATTCTTTTTCTTCTATATTCATATTCGTGCCTAATTGATTATTTACATTTTCATCGGTGATAATTTCCCATATATTTTCTGAAATTTTTTTTTTTAAAACATCAGGGAATAATTCCTTTATATATTTATATAACTTTTGTGGATATTTTAATCTCCAATTCTCAACTCTTTTTGTAATTTTATTCCACATATAACCTAAAAAAAATAAAAAAAAAAAAAAAAAAACATATATAGATATACATAGATATATGGATAGATAAAAATGTATAAATATGCATGTATATAATTATACCTCTATTTGGTTCTGCTTTTATGCATTTATTGATTATATCTTTTTGATTAATTTCATTCTGTTGATCAATTTCAAAAGCTAAAAAAGTTGCCCATCCATCTCCAAAATAAGGATTTAAAGTAATAACCCTGTAAAACCATTTTCTAGCTTTATGAATTTTAAAATTAAACCAAAATAATTTAGCTACAGTTAAAACTACATATGCATTATTACCACAATTATTAAATGCACTAACAGATTTACTATTTTGTAAGTTTTTATTTTCTAGTTCTATTGCTTTTGACCATAATATCCCTGAAGAAGGGCATTCTTTTAAAGCTTCAGATATAAATGGATTTATATTTTTATTATTACAACATAATTCTATTTCAATTAATTTTAGCCATAATAAATCATAATTTTCAATAACTTTAACAGATGCACTTCTTGTTGAATTTTTTTCCAAATCATTTTTATTATTTGATATATTACTATTAGAATTAGGATTTTTTATATCATCAAAATTTTTACTTAATTCTTCCTCAAAAGCTAAGTCACTAGTTTCAATTATTTCTTTATTTTTCAAAACATGATTATTATTATTTAAGGAATGCATATATTTTATTTTAATTTTTGCTTTTTCAACTAAAGCTCTAGCAGAAGTATAATTTTTTTTTTCAATTTGTAAATCAATAGCACAAATCCATAAATTAATTGATGATGGACAATATTTTAATCCTTGTTCATATATTTTTTGAGCATTTATATATGGATCTTCATTATATTCATCTATTTTGTGATCTACACATTTGTCTCTATTAATTTCTTCCTTTATATTTTTACTACTATTATTGGCATTAGTTACAATTTTATTCATATCATCCAAGCTATTTTCTTTATTAAATTTATCATATTCTAATTCAATTTGTCCCGCAATCATATATAATTTATCAAAATATTTGTGAATTTTTAACGCTTCATATACAAGATATTTTGCTTCTTTGTAATTTCTTAATAATCTCTCCAGTTGAACAGATTGCATCCATATTTTTGGTGTATTACATTGTACTCTTGATTTTTTTAATAAAAATCTTGCTCTATCAAATTCATTATTTTCTCTCTCTAATTTAATTGCTGCTAATGATATGACCTCTGTATTTTGATTATGCATAAATGATTCTGCTAAAATTTCTCTCGCTTTATCTATTTCATTATTTAACCATTTTTGTTTTGCTAACATTAACCATAAAACACTTGCGTGTGGGCAATTATGCACAGCTCTTTGTAAGACTTCATCTACACTTTCTTTTTTTCCATAATTCAATTCTAGATTAGCTAAGGCTAACCATAATGATTTTTTAGTTTTAAATATTTTTAGTGCTTCATTATATAAAATTCTAGCAGTATGAAATGATTTATTATTGATGCAATTTTGAGCATCTTGTTTATAAATACTTTTTTTATTTAAAGTTTCCACACCTATATTCATTGTGTTTCTTATAATACTTTCACATGTATGAGGAAAGTTCGATTTCTCACATTCTTCAGCAAATTTTATCCATTTATCTCTTTCAAAAATGACATTTTTTGAAGACAAATTTTCAATACATCTTTTAATAATAGTATCTACCATATTAATATTACCTTGCTTTTCTTCTAATTTAGATGCATTAATCCATATTTCTGCACTTGTAGGAATTTTCTTTCTTGCTTCATTTAAAACTTTTTGAGCTTCATTATAATTACAAAGTCTCGCTAAAGCAATCCACATTTCAATACATTGCGGGATACATTCTACTGCCCTTTTTAGAAGAATATATGCATTATTTTCATTTTCTAAAGATATAGCTTCTTTCCATAAACGTACTGAATTAGGTATACATTCGATGGCTTTTCGCAAAACTTTTCTTTTATCATCTATATTCTTTTCTTTTTTATATGCCTCTAACCACAATTTAACAGAAGTTGGTATATGTTTAATAGCTTTAGCTATAATTATTTTTGCTTCACTAATTTTATCTTCTAATCTGACTGCTTCTAACCATACATCCTCATTTTTTGAACATTCAATACATCCTTTCATAATGATTTCTTTCGCTTTATCTTTTCTTTGAGATAATTCTTCAACACGTGCTGCTGCAATCCATCCTGGTCCATGTTTAGGATTTGTGCTGATAACGGATTTTAATAATGATCTAGCTTTATTAATATCAGCCACATCTGCATCATTTATTAAACTCTTTGCATTTAAATTTGTTAAATAACCTTTAGGATCTATAACGGTTTGTCCTTCTACATTATCTATAAGTTCATCTAGTTTAACTGATAGTACAGTTCCTCTAGCTTCTCCTAAATCATTTAATGATAATTTATTCACATTATTTAATAGTGGAGTATTATATCCACTAACATTTGATGCATTTAAGGGAGTGTTATAACCAGATAAAGTAAAAGGAGTGTTTAAACCACTATATGCCATATTATTTTTTAGAGGATTCCTATTATACATAGGAGTTTCATATCCTAAAGCTGTAGAGCTTTTCATAAAAGGAGTTTGAAATCCTAATCCTATCGGAGTTTGAGCTCCTAATGGAGTACGTAAGCCTAATGGTGTTTGTAATCCCAATGGTGTTTGCAATCCTAATGGTGTTTTAAGTCCTAATCCAAGAGGAGTTTTAAGTCCACTAGAAGAAGAATTATTATAATTTAAATGCATGTTAGATTCGTTAATTCGACTCATTATCAAAGAATCTGGTGGTGGCAAATAATTTTTTGGTGCTTTTTTTTGTCTTTGTTTTGAAGAATATTGAAAAACACTTGGTATGGATTCCCATTCTTCAAGAGTTACATTCGCTAGATTTTTTTTTAGGTCACTAAATTGCTCTTGAATAGTTGGTTTTTGAGCTCTCATTTTTGAAATTTCTTCTTTTAATTTATTTTCTCTTCTACTTTTTCTTCTTATATCCATACGTGCATCTATATTTTCATAAATTTCATCTGCTTCTTTATCTTCTTCATCATATTCTGTATCTTTAAATAATGATTCGGAATAACCATGAAATTCGTCATAATTAAAATCAGAGTAATCGTTTTTATCTTTATCATCTGTTGTGTCATCTCTACTAACTCCTCCTGAAAATCCTGTCACTCCTCTCCCTTTTCCAGGAATATATCCAACTGGTGGTTTACCAAATGGTTCTATTTTTATAGGATTAAAATTATACATTTCATTTTTATTATTTTTTATATCATTTTTTAATGACATATAATTTACTGATTCATCTTTTTTTATATTTAATGGATCACTATTTAAAATCCCATTTCCTAAATAATCTTTATTTTTGTTATCATACATATCTTTTTTTTAAAAAAAAAAAAAAAATAAAAACAATAATTTCATAAGTAATTTTGATTAAGCTATTATTTCTATATTTTATTTTTATTTACTTATTTATTTATTTTCCTTAAAATATATACAAATATTCTTTGAAAAATATATTTTTATTAACTGTTTTATTTAAAACTTTGGTATATTTACAAAATTTATTTAGATTTTTTCAAATATTTACTTTTATATATACTGTTTATATTTTTTTAATAAATTTATTCCAAGATTCTATCTTCATATATAATTTATTTTTTTTCAGAATAACTGTTGAAATTTTTTCATTTGATTACTAATTTTTTCTTATAAAAATACTATTATAATTTTATTTTTTTTTTTTTGTATATTATACCATTTTAGTTTATATTTTATTCATTTTTTTTTTTTTTTTCTTCTTTTTCTTTTTTTGTTATTTATGCTAATTTAATTATTTTAAAATGTACAATAATTATGTATAATTTCATATAATATCAATAAACAACACTATACTAATTTATATCCTGTAATTATTTACTTTTTTTCTAATTAAATATCCTAACTCTAAAATTATTATATGCAAAATATTTTAATAAAATTATATGAAATCCTCAAATTTTAGCAAGCGTTATATGTTTCAAAATAAATATTCCCTATATATATTAAAATATAAAAAAAAAAAATAAAAGGAAATTTTTATAGGAATTATATTAATATACCTTTATATATGTTAATTAAGAATATTACTATATTTTTATTAAAAGAAGTGTATATTCTTTTAATAATTTGAAATAATGTAGAAGTATATATAATGATGGATTACAATTATTTAAATAATTCTTTGAAATTCCATTAAAATAATAAAAAAAAAAAACTAATAAATATATTAAATTATTTTTTAATTTTTTTTTTTTCTTTTTTATTTGTAGGTAAATTTACATATATTAATGTAATATTCTATTCTATAAATAATTAAAAAGCTAAAAAAAATTAGTGCTTTTAAAAATAAAATTATGCTTTTTTTTTTTTTTTTTTTTTTTTTTATATACTTTAAATAAGGTATTTTAATTGTTTTTAATTTTTTTTTATTAAAATGATTGAATTATTTTTATTTTTATAGTAAAATAATTGAATATGTTTTATTTTATTTTTGTTTTATTTTTATTTTTTTTTTTTTTTTGTGTTAAAATACTTAAGTTTTAATTTGTAATGTGCATAAAATATTTGAACTATTACTTTTTATATAGTTACAATTTTCTTTAAAAATATTAAGTGAAATATATTTTTAAAAACAAAATAATACAAAAACGTAATTTTTTTTTATTTTTATTATTATAAAAATTATAAATTTTTTCTTTCGTACCATACATAAAAAAATAATGAAAAGTCTGGAAATAACAAAAGTTAAATATTCATATATTAATAAAAAAAAAAAAAAAAATAAAATAAATTTTAAAAATAAAAAATGAAACAGAATAAAATAATTTTATTTTATCATATATTTTTTGTGTAATTATAAAATGATGTAATATTTTTACAAAAGTTAATATTATAGTATAATTAAAATAAATGCAAATTTTAATAAAATACTCATTACAATTACAACATATAATTTTATTAAAAATTAATAACATTATTGCATATTAGACGTTATTACAAATGTACATAAACATAAAGTTTACTATATTTCCTATTTTTTTTTTTTATATGTATGAATTTTTTTAAATAAATTTTAGTGAATTATTAAAAATATCAATATCTTTTTGTTTAATTTTTAAGAAATAATATTCTTGAGAACATATAAAAAACCTATAAATTATATTAGTAGGTTTGAAATTGTATGTTAATAAGATAAAACCACTTGAAAAAATTAAGAAACGTATTAACCTAGCTACAAGGGGATAAAAAAATATGTTGAGAACACATAATAATAATGTTAAAATAACTAATAAGTAACCAAATTTTCTTAAAATATAAAAAAATATTTGAGATGATTTAGTAATGCAAAATAAAATATAATGAATATATTTTATATTATTTATTATATCATCATCAATTACACTAGATATAAATGTTTTAATAATAGTTAAGTTATTTTCTTCATCTATATCTTCATCTGTGTAATTATTAAGACTAGCATTATCTGAATCATCTTCTTCATTTCCACTTCTATTATTATTATTATTATTATTATTATTATTATTATCATTTTTCATATTATTATTATTACCATTGTATAAAAATGATACTGAACTTTCTGAATTTGAGTTATCAGAATCAGTGCTACTTTCATCTTTTGAAAAAGAATTATTGCTTGTTTTATCGTCTTCTAAATTATTTTTTTTTAAACATTCCTTTTTATCTTTAACATTGCTATATAATTTTCTATCTGATTTATTCCAATAAGTAGATATGTTACATTTATTTTCCTTTTTCTTTTTTTCATCAAAAATAGAAAAATTTTTAGATTTTAATTTATCGCTTTCTTTAATAATAGAAACCAGAATGAAGAAAATTAAACTTAATGCTACTAAAAAAAAAGAGAAAAAAAATTTTGAAAAAATAAAAGAAAAGCAAAAAAAAACAACAAAAAATATTGAATAAAAAGGAGTTTTCCATGAAGCAATATTATAAATAATAGAAAAAAAAGGCATCCAAATAGTATCAATATTTAGTTTAATAGTCTTAATTTCTTCATATAATTGATTTACATTTAAATCTTTTTCTAATATTTCATTATTCTTATATATATAACTATAATTTAATGAAGTTATTGTATTCAATTGTAAAATTGAATTACTACAATTACTTTTGTTGACTAATTTTGCAAAAATGCGAATATTATAATCATTCATATCATTTTTTAAAATTGTTTTATTATTTATGTAGCTACTTTTTTCACTTGTATTGCTTTTTTTTTTTTTGTTAGACTCTTCACTTATTTGGGTTTTATAAATATAAGGATCGGTTAATATTGCAACTTTATCAATGTATTTAATAATTATATCATATTTTCTAGACAATTTTAAATCACAAACATTAATAAAAGCGCTTCCAATATATTCATCTTCTACTATTCCTTCAGTTTCATCCATGTCATATAATTGAATTTCAATTTTACTTTTAATATAATGAATTTGCAACTCTAATTTTTCATCCCATATATTTAATGAATTATCCAAAATTTTTGTTCTGTAAACCTCTACATCGTTTAGTAATATTTTTAAATATGGATGCATTAAATCATTATCTTTATTTGATCTGTAAGTACTTATTCTATTTAAATATCCATATAGTAATAATCTCAAAACTAAAAAACCTTTTGTTTTTATTGGATTGAATGAATCATGAGGGTTAATTAAACTTTGCCACCATTTATAAGTTTTTAAGTTCTCATTTTTTACATTTATCACATATAAACCATTTTCTAGTATTAAACTTTTTGAAAAAAGTGTTATTTTCTCATTATTTCTTGTATGTACCATTTCATTAAGTTTATTAAAATTTCCTTTTACTTTTAAGAAATTTTGAAGTGCATATTTTTTTAATATAATTTTAATTTTAATTTTTTTTTTTTTTTTAAGAAAATATATCAGTACTAGCTTTATGCTTTTTTTTGTAAAAAATAGATAAAAAAATAAATGTGCAACAAGTAATATATATTTCTTCTTGTATAATTATGTTTAACCTTGTAATGAAAGTTTTATAAATAACTTAAACTTTTTTATTTCTTATATTTTTTAATTTATTTTTTTTTAACTTTATTATTTTTTAATACGTGCATCTGCTAATTGTGTGTGAGTGTTTTTTATTCTATTCAAATTAAATTAAAAAGTTATAAGAAAAGAAAATAAGAAATGTAATTATTATATTCGTAAATTTTAATAGTTACATATATGAGGTCACATATTATAATAAGATATTATTTTAAAAAATATATAGAAAAAAAAAGCAAAAATATATAAAAATTCAATATATTTTATTTACATTTCATTTATTAGTCTTTATGTCATTATTTTGCTTTATTTTTTTTTTTTTTTTTTTTTTTTTTTTTTTTTTTTTTTTCTTTTACCTTAATCTTTTTTTTTAATTGTGAAAATAATGAAGCAATAATAATAAACTTAAAAAATAAGGAAATCAATAAGAATTTTTTGTCATTAGTACATCATTATAATTCTTTATAAAATAAAAAATTAAAAAAATTTTTTATTATTTGAACAATATTCAAATAAAAAAAAAAAAATAAAAAATAAACTTTTAAAATAGACCTTGAAGAAACTTATGAAAAATACTTTTAAGAATTAAAAATAAAAAAATTAAAAAGGCAAAAATTTTATCATACGATGAATATATCATAAATTATGTAATACATATTCAGCATCACAACACTTTATTTACATAAAATTATTTTAGGTAATATTTCTATGAATATTTTAATTAACAACATATGAAACATTAAAAAGTGGAGAGAATATAAAAAAAAAAAGAAGAAAAAAAATATTAATTATAAAAGTGAAATTACTTAAAAAGTATCTATATTTTTAATGAATATAATAAGTATATATTAAAACTGAAAAAAAAAGAAAAATAGTAATGTTTTCATATGAAAAATTTAGATTTTTATAGAAATACAACGTATCAGCAAAAATTATGTTAATATACTTTAAAAAAATAATACATTTTTTACTATTTATTTAAAATTAAAAAAAAAAATAAATAACCATAATAATTTCATTTGTCTTTATGGTAATTGAATTTTTTTTTATATTTCTTATTTTTTTTTTCCTCTTCTAAAATATCTCTGACATTTTCACTACATTCATTGATTTCAATTTTGTTTGTGTTAATGTCCCTTTCTTTTTTTTTAGTTTGATAAATTTCCCATTCTTGGATAACAAATCTTTTTAAATAAAGAAAATAAATTATTCCCAAAATACCAAAAGAAAATTTCTAAAATAAAAAGAAAATAATAATAAGAAAATTTTTAAAATGTAAATAAAATATTATATCATATTGATGATATGTATTTTTACTATAAATCAAAAAATAACATTTATTTTATGAATTATAATTATTTTTCTCTTTCTATTTTATATATAAAAATAAAAATAAAAATAAATAATTATATAAAAAAGGAGAATTCTATAATATTATGTAATAGGTATAAAATTAATAATTAAAAAAAAAAAAAAAAAAAAATTATTAGATAAAAATAAATATTGTTTTTTCTTAAATATTTTACAACTCCTTTTTCCCATAGCCCACTTTTCATTTTTATAGCATCTTTTGAATTGAAAATCTTTTTTTATGAATTAATAGTAGTATTTTTTATTTCAAAACACAAATAATTTTATTTCGTAATAATAGTTTACTTTTTTTGCACTCCATATGAAAAAAAAAATTTTCAAAATTTAATATTTTATAATACATTTATATTTTTTTTTTTTTTTTTTTTTTTTTTTTTTAAATTTATATTAAAAAAATTTTTTTAATTTAAATGTTTCAATTCCATTTGCTTAATAAAATTAAAAAAGAAATACAGTAAAATTTTTGTGTGTAAAATTATAAATTTCAAATAATAATAAAAAAAAAAAGAAAATAAAAATATGAAAATAAGTGTTAATATAAAAATAGAATAATATATATATATATATATATAATAAAAAAGAAAAAAAAAGGATGAAAAATAATATAATAAAATGATATAATAAAGAAACAATAAATTATTAAAATTATAAAAAAAAAAAAAAAAAAGGTTTTTAATGCTTTTCAGCAGCTTTTCTTCTCTGTATCATAACAATTTTTTGGATTTCTTCTCTTTTTGCTTTTCCTCTCTTATGTGTTCCTAATTTCTTTTTTGCATACTTTAAGCTTCTTTTAATTGAAGCTGATGTACCAATTTTTATTAATTCAATTAATCTTTTCTCATATGGGCTAAATCCAGTTATTTCTCTAACAACATCTTTTATGAATTCTTTTCTTTTAGATGGTTGCTTTTTTTTTTTATTTATTTTTAAATTCCTTTTTGTTACAATATGTCCACTATTAAAACCAACTAAAAAAGAAAATTTTCAATAAAAAATTATTTTCAATTATTAATATTTATATATATATATATATATATATAATTTCTGTAGTTTCTTATGAATATATAATATTATAACAAATAAATTACTCCTATTTTTTTATATGAAATTATATAATATGTTGCATTTTTCTCATATCTATTATATTTCTTTTTTCTTTGTATTTTTTTATTTTATATTTTTTTTATATATAATAACCTGCTATTCCTGTTGAAGGTTTTGTTGATGATTTTCTTCCCATTTTATAAAAATATAAATATAGTAAGAGTTTCTATGTTATATTTAAATATTTACAATTTTAAAATTATATATAACTATTTTTTAACAATGTTATTTTTCTTCTTTCTTAATTATTTTACTTTATTTTCTTTTTTTTTTTTTTTTTTTTTTTTTTTATAAAATTTTTTTT